TAAAATCTATAAAGCAAAAATACACCGATCTTTGGCTATGTTATAAAGGAACAGGCTCTACCGTTTGAAAGTTATCAAACAACATTGCATGCTGCATTTCAAATAAAGCGCATGCCTAGAACGGCTGTAATATAGAACTAAACAACGAACGATTGAGTGGGACGTTTCAAATATGGCCAGGCCCAGGCAGGCTAGCCTTAAAGGAACACTCCACCATTTTTTTTTTTTAATTGGGGTTATTCACGGTTTCCCCTACATTTAGATAGGTGGGCAAATGCATGTTTGGAAGCACAGGCGAAGCACTGCTACTTGGGCGCAGAGATATCACACAACACCTGAAATAAAGCTTGCCACAAATAACCGGCAAAAGTAATGATTATGCATGAAACATTTGAATTATTGATAAAGTTGATAAATTGATTAAGTTGACGATGCAGACTCGCCATCTTCACAGTAGTGAACGCGCCTATAGAGAGAAGTGTGCACGCGCCGGCGCCTCTGTGTCCTGATTATATTGTCCACTATATTTTCTTCTTATTTATTAATCCAGGCAAATTTGTTGATGAAACATTGATTAAAATTAAGATACAATTTATACAAAACGAAATTTTCAAGCAAAAATAATATTCGAAGATCGCTGGGTTGATTATTATTCGAAAATCGCACCCCTCCACCACATGCATGCACACATGCATTAGGCTACACACCAGAGCATGTGAGCAAAGGGGAGCGGTGTGACGCTTATTATAGCCTAAGTTAAAAAACTTAAACATACGTTTCATATTTATAAATAATATAATGTTATAATTTTTTTATTTCATCTATGTTGATTATATGAAAAGGGAACCGCATGAGATGAGTAAGATAGGATCATAAGATGACCTATATATCGGAAAACATTTGGAATGCGTCAGATTTTGACCACTTATTAAGTTTTGTTTTGTAGAAAGCCTTTCTTTAACCCTTGTGTTATGTTGCGGGTCAATTTGACCCGTTTCGATTTTCAAGTTGTTGGAAATACTGGTTAACCTTTGTTTTTTTTCTTGATATTTTGTGACTTTTTCTCATTTATCATGATGAACATGCATGCAAAGTTTCAACATGCTGATGTGTTTTGACATATACAAACAAAATTACTGTTACGTTCGTGATGTTCGCGGGTCAATTTGACCCTCATAGACAGCCATTCAAAAGCAACTGTACAGACACAAAATAAAAACATTTATTTTCTGTATGTCAGGGCACTTCAACTCCAGTTCTAACGTGCAATTGCATCTAAAAGTGCTCTAACCCTAACCAAACACACTTGAAAAAGCTAAAATTACAGTGTTCAGAATTATTTGCAAATTACAGATGAAAATCTTTGTCAGACACAGATAGTAAAATAAGCTCTCATTTCAATATTCAAAATATCTATATACCTAGCTTTTAACCAAAACTTTTGTGTAGGATTTTCAAAGGCAGCTTCACAGAGCCAAAAAATAAATAAAAAACATTTATTTGATGTATGTTTTTGTTATGTTTGGTTTCTCACTTCCCAGTGAGTGAATAATGAAACTAGGAAAATAGGTCTTAGGAAACTAGGGAAAGTTAACTTAGGAAAATGAAAAATTTTCATTATACAGCAATTTTTTTTTGTTCAGTTACGATGTTCAAAGCATAAAATGTAAAAAAAAAAAAAAAAAAAGTAAAAAAAAACATATATGCAAAAAAAATCAGTATACTGTTTATTTTCCAATTTTGTCAAAACAAAACTGTTTTAAAAAATGTTTTAAAAACATTTTCATTAATCATATTTTCAGATATAATGTTTTTGTAATGTTTGACAAATGTTGATATTAAAAGTTTACAGTTTGTATCTAAATCTTTGTTGTTTTTCATAGTGTGATTTTTGAGGAATTGCATTGAATCCAATTAGGGTCAATTTGACCCGGTCCATAAGGGGTGTACACAGAAATCGAACAGAACACAAGGGTTAAAGTTTATTTCGTTTTGTATAAATTGTATCTTCATTTTAATCAATGTTTCATCAACAAATTTGCCTGGATTAATAAATAAGAAGCAAATATAGTGGACATTATAATCAGGACACGGAGGCGCCGGCGTGTCCACACTTCATATGAAGTGTGCATTTCTCTCTCTAGGCGCGTTCACTACTGCGAAGATGGCGAGCATGCATCATCAACTTTATCAATTTATCAACAATTCAAATGTTTCATGCATAATCATTACTTTCGCCGGTTCTTTGTGGCAAGCTTTATTTCAGGTGTTGTGTGATATCTCTGCGCCCAAGTAGCAGTGCTTCGCCTGTGTAGAGTCTCCGCAACGGCGATAGATTGAAACGCGCGTCCGAGTGAAGATTGCGCAACTCGCGCAGCGTGTCGTCCATGCAACTGATAGCAGCGGACACGAGCGCTCAGCTTGATTTCAAAAACAACTGATTTTAGCGCTAGATCTCTTATTTAATAGCGAACTAAATGATCTGCTGGTTAACTGGAGATGTTTTATTTATTTGTATTAGGTACATCCGTGCCTCAATGTTTCAAAAAGTGAATGTGTGTGAAACCATAGTAAAAAACATACTATGGTTGGTGTTGTTTGTCCCGAATCGGACTATCATGTTTTTTTCCGTCTATTTGAAAGTTAGGCTAATAATAACATGTTGCATTCTATACGGCCTGATTATGTCATTTTGTAAGTTACATAGCCTGCCTCCAGTTTTCCTCAACTTGACTAATTAAGAGGCGATATTTTACCGGCATATCATCAAAATGTCCGTTAAACAAAACCTCTGCCGGTCACTTTGACCGGCACCATTTTTTTCTAGCGGAAACTCTGGTATATATATATATATACAGTATATACACTCACCTAAAGGATTATTAGGAACACCTGTTCAATTTCTCATTAATGCAATTATCTAATCAACCAATCACATGGCAGTTGCTTCAATGCATTTAGGGGTGTGGTCCTGGTCAAGACAATCTCCTGAACTCCAAACTGAATGTCAGAATGGGAAAGAAAGGTGATTTAAGCAATTTTGAGCGTGGCATGGTTGTTGGTGCCAGACGGGCCGGTCTGAGTATTTCACAATCTGCTCAGTTACTGGGATTTTCAGGCACAACCATTTCTAGGGCTTACAAAGAATGGTGTGAAAAGGGAAAAACATCCAGTATGCGGCAGTTCTGAAGGCGAAAGGGGGTCAAACACAGTATTAGTATGGTGTTCCTAATAATCCTTTAGGTGAGTGTATATAAAACAACGTTAACATAAACATTTCATATATAATTTAACACATTTGTAGGTCTATATTGTCTCATTTATAATTGTAAGTTGATTTTCTGTAAACTGTGTATTTTTTTGGGGACTAATAGTGGTTAATAAAGTCCAATAATGGTATGAGAGAGTATCAGTGGTAATATCATTGTGTTCCTGTCGGTCAGTGTTAGAGGATCTGTGTAACAACAGTTAGCCTGCCCTGGACAATATTAGTTTCCCAGCAAGTTGCCAAAGTAACTGAGTTTTAACTATTTTAAGTTTGCTTTATGAAACAGAATCAACCGACAATAAGACTGACTAACCAAAATAAGCCTGGCTCGTATTCTAATCTTGTTTTATGGAACAGCCCTCAGATCTAGCAGTTTTTAAGGAGCGTCCGAAACAAATACTCCAGTAACGGCCATTGTTCTGGGAAGAGGAGCTGCAATGCGGGTATGTCATCTGTCATGTAGTGGCTGGTTTAAAGACACTCATGACGAAGGGGATTCTATAACTACAGTCTTTAATATAACACTTAGGAATAACAAGAGAACTCAGGAGATTCAGCTAACACAACCACTTGAATCAAAAACAACACGGAACAAAGGACTGAATGAAATGAGTATAATACACAGAGAGATAGTTAACTTAAAAATGAAAAACTGCATAACTCAATTAACGACCATGGAGACAAACTAGCAAAGAAAACACAGGCAAACATGAACTGAACACAAAACCAAAACTGAATATACATGTTACAGGGAGATTATATACACCGAGCGATATTAATTTAACTCAGGGGGTTTAGCTGTGTAGCGACGGAGGAGCTTGGTCTTTGTAGTGGATGATAATGGTGCGGGGCCTCCACTTTTCTAATGAGGTCCAACTCTACACATGCCTAGCTGTCCCTGAGAAGTGCTATGCCTGATGCTGTGGTCAAGAAGAACATCATGTCAGTCGTTTTGGTTTTTAGTCTGCATGTGTGGCTGAATGACACCTTCTGGTTTGATGCAGGTGTCACCATAAGATGCAAGCACTGTGTGTTTTTTGCATAGTCACAGGGATCTGCAGCTGATCATGGATTTTCATCGGAAGAATATTTGCTTCAGCACTGTGTCGAGTTTGAGATTGACAGTCATGCCTGTCAGACCTGTTCAGCTGAACTACAGGCCCAATAAACAGTGTGTCTATTTCTGACTTGCAAAGTGGTTCTTTTGCCACATTTTTTGAATACTTCATTAGAGGCAGGGCACTGTCTTGGCATCTGAATGCCTCTTCTTATGCTACAGGTCGCTGCATGTCCTTGTATTGACTGAGAGGTTGTTTGTTCTACAAAAGTAAGACGTACGGGTGTGGAACAACATAACCATTAGTAGATGGCAGGATTTTATTTTAACTATACCTCTTACAAAAGCACTTTATAAATACATATTACCATTGAAAATAGAAAACAGAATTTATTTAGCAAATTAACATTTATTTCTGAAATAAGGTAAGTGGTAACACTTTAGAATACTGTTCAATCATTAATGAATAACTACACAGGAGCAAATGAGAAACACAATATTAACATTCAAGTAACTACAATTAACTTACAAGATCTCAGATCTCTTTTGCTCCGTGCTGGTATATAGTGTCCTCAAGTGGCAGTTGTGAGTTTACAAAGACCTGAGAGATGAGTCACATGATCGCAATGACTATTTCAACAAGAGGACTTTCACTATCACAACAAAGAGCTCCGGCGTTCAGAGAGAGAACACCTGAGTGAAACAACGCAGGGAATTCCACACAATAAAAATGACTTCAGGTCAAGGTCAGTAAAAATTTTTTTTTTATATATATATACTTTTGAGATCAGGCAGATAAGATTTTTCTTTTATAAAACTAGAAGACACAAAGTAATTAATAGCGACTTTTACTGAAATTATAGCACTTTCTATCAGAATAATGTCTTCAAGCCAAAGTAGGTGTTTTTTAAAGGGGTCATATAATGGTACATGCACTTTTACAAGTTGATTGTCCTGAAATGTGTGTTGGCAGTGCCTGTACACAACCATCATATAATGATAAAAATCCATCCAGTGTTTTTGTTTTAATCTCCTTATATGTTTTCCCCTGCCTCAAATCCAGCCGTTCGAGCCTGTGACGTCACACGCTCGGAAGCCCCTCCCACGTCATACTCCGCGCGGACCGGCGCGGTCATTGTTGATATGCTGGAGCACTGTCTATGAGCAGAATGGCGTCTAAGCGATTGTGGTGTTCTGTTCTTGGGTGTAATAACGAACAAAGTCATTTTAATGTTCCTAAATCCGAACCGCTGAAGACGCAGTGGCTGTGTTTGTTTTCGAAGGGAATATTCCCCACGAGCAACGTCAATGCTTTCATATTTGTGCGAATCATTTCTCACCAGACTGCTTTATAAACGAGGATCAGTATAAAGCTGGATTTGCTAAGAAGCTGCTCCTGAAGAAAGGATCGGTACCAGATATTCGTGTTCCTGCTGAATCTCCAGAAGAACGGAAGTGAGTGTAACGTTTTATTAAACTTTATATTAATATATTAATCTTTGCAAATCGCCAGCTGCACGCTTCACAATGAATGCGTCTCAGGTTTACACTCAGGGTACATTACGGCATGTTTTCTATGTACGATGTTCTCCATATAATTCATAATCCCACGTTTATAATGAACAACACCTTATGGTATTGTGTTACAAACGGTGTATGCACAGAACAGAGAGGCGGAGTCAGCGCAGCTCATGATCATTTAAAGGCATATGCACTGAAACGGCGTGCTGAAAACAGAGCTGTTTTTGACCAAGTAAAATAAGTGTTTTCTTACAATACTAATGAGAATTTTTAATTAAAGTATATTACAAACTTTTAATTTAGACCCTAAAGAATCATATTAGCTTGTACAAAAATGGCATTATATGACCCCTTTAAACATTTAAATATAATATTGTACTGATAGCAGACATTTTCTTTTTAAATTATTTTTTCTTAATTATCTTAATTATACTTTATTTCAACATAAATATTTAATACATGCAGAATAAAAATAAATAACATATTAAACAGTTATTTACACTTTAGCAAGCACACAAAGTGTGAGGGAAATCAGCACCAACCCCATTTGCAGACAATTTGTAAACACATACAGGATATTGAAATGATTATATATGTGACTGTTACAAACTGATCAAATCATAGCTTTGCAAACTGAGAGAAAATGACTGGGAGTCTGGAAGAAAGAAAAGAGACTTTATGATTATATGGAAACCTAAAAAGGCACACACCAAAAGAGACTACCTCAAAGCAAATTTTAAAAATGAATAAAAGTGTCTGTGTTTTGAACAACCTGGGTAACCTTTATGATTGATTTCACAGTAAACCGTGTTAATACATGTTTCCAGAGAGGATTGAGTGGATGGTTTGCCTTGAAATATAAAAATGTAATTTATTATGATTTTTTATTTTTTAAAAATGTTTATAATTCTTTTTAGCAGGTGATCTAAGGATTTTGCTCCTGGGTGAAACTGGAGTAGGAAAAAGCACAACTGGAAACACCATCCTGGGCAGGAATGCATTTAAAGAGGCCAGTAAAATGTGTGAGAGACAGGGAAGAGTTTTGGATGGGAAGACCATTACTGTAATCGACACTCCAGGACTGTTCAATACGTCTATCACAGAAGAGCAAGTGAAGGCTGAAATAGAGATGTGTGTAGAGATGTCTGCTCCTGGTCCTCATGTGTTCCTGCTGGTGTTCAAACTGGGAGTGAGATTCACACAAGAGGAGAAGAACTCAGTGCAATGGATCCAGGAGAACTTCGGAAAAGAGGCTTTGCTTCGTACCATCATTCTGTTTACTCACACTGATCTGCTGAAGGGTAAATCTTTGGAGGAGTACATCACGGAAAGCCACAATTTACCGAGAATAGTTGAAAGTTGTGGTGGCAGATATCACTCATTCAACAATGAAGATAGAAACAATCAACAGCAGGTTACAGAACTGCTGCAAAAGATGAATGCATTGAGGAGGCAGCATGGAATGAGGCATTACACACCTGAGATGTTTTACACAACTCAAACAGAAATGACTGGGAAGGACAGAATGAATCTGTTAAACACTACGCATGTTTTGAGCGTTATCATATTGATAGTTGCTGTTTTTCTAGGAACACAGCAGTGGAAAAACAGGCACCTAAACGAGGAGCAGAAACTGAAAAATGACATCCAACAGATAGAAGTGGAGGTGGAGCAACTGAAAATGGAGCTCCGAGAGAATGAGCAGAGAGAGAAGCTTCTAAAAACAGGCCTTGAAGAGAAGGAAGAGGAGGAGCAGCAACTGAAAAATGAGCTCCTGCTGAAGAAACAGGAGGAGGAGCAGCTGAAAAATGAGCTCCTGCTGAAGGAAAGGGAAACACAACTGAAAAAGCAGTTCTTAGCAAATGAGCAGAGAGAGCATCTTCTAAAAGCAGACCTCCTAAAGAAGGAAGAGGAAGAGCAGCAATTGAAAAAGGAACTGCAAGAGAAGGAACAAGAGGAGAAACAGCTGAGAAATGAGCTTCTAATGAAAGAAAAGGAACATCAGAAGGAACAGGAGTTGTGGAAGCTAAAAAAGGAGCTCCTAAAGAAAAAACAGAATAAGCATCAGCTAGAAGAGGAGCTCTTACAGAAGGAACAGGAGAAGTTCCAGTTTTTCCAACAGAAGGAACAGGAGAAGCATCAGCTAAAAAAGGAGTTCTTAGAGAAGGAACAGGAGGAGCATCAGCTAGAAGATAAGCTCTTACAGAAGGAACAGGAGAAGCATCAGCTAGAAGATAAGCTCTTACTGAAGGAACAGGAGAAGGATCAGCTAAAAAAGGAGCTCTTACAGAAGGAACAGGAGAAGCATCAGCTAGAAGATAAGCTCTTACTGAAGGAACAGGAGAAGCATCAGCTAAAAAAGGAGCTCTTACAGAAGGAACAGGAGAAGCATCAGCTAGAAGATAAGCTCTTACAGAAGGAACAGGAGAAGCATCAGCTAGAAGATAAGCTCTTACTGAAGGAACAGGAGAAGGATCAGCTAAAAAAGGAGCTCTTACAGAAGGAACAGGAGAAGCATCAGCTAGAAGATAAGCTCTTACTGAAGGAACAGGAGAAGGATCAGCTAAAAAAGGAGCTCTTACAGAAGGAACATGAGAAGCATCAGCTAGAAGATAAGCTCTTACAGAAGGAACAGGAGAAGCATCAGCTGGAAAAGGGTCGCCCAGAGATTGAGCAAAAGAATCAGCAGTTGAAAAATGATCTTCTACATAAGGAAAATGAAAAGCAGCAGCTGGCTAAAAAGCTCCTACAGTAAAATCAGAAAGAAGCAGCAGGAGCATCAGGAGGAACAACTAAAGCATGAGTTGCTAAAGTAATAGGAGGAACAGTAGCAGCAACAGGGAGATCTACAGAAAAGAGTAGCATTAGCAGAGGACGTGTAATATCAGCACTGAAATAAGTATGATGGTAACTTATAAGGTTTTTGCATTGTGAAATGACACACTTCTCTGTATATACTAAATATATTATAGTTTAGGTATGTAAATTATTACAGTTTTAAACTGGATATTTTACCTAGTTTACATAGCAGCAAAATTACGAGGTTGTGCTTTTTAAACACAGCTAGTGTTAATCAGAATCATCTAATTGAAACTGTCTTTCATTTTCATAGTAGATATTAAAATGTACAGCATTATTATAAAAGATAGATTATATAAATGAAAAAATAAAAACACAATGTAGTGTATTTTGAAAGCTATTTAAAAAAAAAAGATTGTTTCTTTTTACATGCACATTAAAGTCATTACAAATATCTTTTTTTGTGTGTTAATGAAACTTTTTAAGCAAGCCTGGGACACACAAAGTTGGTGTCAGGCAATGTGGGGCTGTTTTTGAGTGTCTGTCGGCATAGTTTGTGTTCCGCATCGTTGGCTATAGTCGGACACCGCCAGCTGTTTTTGGGGCGATTCTACATGTCGAACTGGTGGCGGAGCTCATTCATAAGAGAGATCATTCTGATTGGCTGTTCAGCTTTAACGAATCAGCGCACAAGGAATGACACTGACAAAAGCAAACAAACAATGGAGTAAAGAGGGGACGTTCAGACACTTGTCATTCTTGTCATTTAATCTCATTTGAATAGTGGATTTTTTTAATAGTAACCCAGGGTTGACAATGCCAGTAACAACTTAGCAGACATAATGGAAAAAGCATCTGTTATGAGCAAGACAATAACATGGACAATAACATAATCTGTTATGGTACAGAAACAAGTGCTGATTGCTTTGGTGTGTCGCGGGTGGATGAATCATTCATGTGTTGATTTTAGCAAAGAGACAGAACTCTGATTTCACGATAAAACACAACGAAAGTGTGTCAGTCTTTTACTTTCGTTTTCAACAACAAAATATATCTCTTCATAAACAAACAAGTGCACCTTGCCTAGTGCACCTCCTGGTGGTCGTTATATTAAAACACAAAGGAATCTACATAAGATATTGCTTAATAACTTAACAGCTTTAACCAAAAATATACTCAAGCTTAAGAGAAATTATTCTGTAAAGAGAGTTTTCCAACATAATTATGGAAATATGAATGTGTTTATAGCTTAATTTTTCATCAGGCACTAATTTGCAGATGTAGTTGCAGGTCCATTTGTTTAAAGGAGTAGTTAACTTTAAAAGGAAAATTATCTCATAATTCACTCACCCTCAAGCCATCCTTGGTGAATATGACTTTCTTCTTTCAGACAAATAAAATTATTCGGAGTTATATTAATAAATACCCTTAAAGGTACAATATGTAGGAATTTTGTAATAAAATATCCAAAAATCACTTGCACAGTGTGATATATTTCCTGCAGTTGTGTACTTACAATATCCCAAAAGTCTCCAAAGATTTTTTTATTTCAGAGAAATTCAAATTTTAAATAAGTGTCCGTCCCGGAAAAAAATGTCGCCTGTCAATGACGCAATATCCGCGCTAGGGCTGTCACGATGTTAGATTTTTCACACCACGGTTATTGTGGCCAAAATAATTCACGATATCGATATATCGCGATATCTATAGAATACATGGGGGGGGGGGGGGGTTGTATAAATGGGGGTATGTACGTATAAACAACGTAAAACAACTTTTACGTTGTTTATATAGTTTTTATTTTTTACCCAACAAACATAAGGGTACAAACAAAAAAATTAAGTGCAAATACAAATACAAAAATAAGATGGTTCTTAATAATCACCCTTTATTAAATGTATGAACACAGGAACCCCCTGTTAACAGGTTAATGTCACTTTTCCCATTCTATGACTAGTAAAATAATCGCAATTCTCTGTAAAATTGCGTAATCTGCAGGGTGATGGACACGGAGATGGGTAAAAAGGTTGGTGGCTACACATTCTGCAGCGCCGCGTCGCGTGTAGGACAACTCGAGGTATCGCACACCGGACGCGCACTTTCTCAGTTTATGGACAGCCAGCGTATTCTTATGTTTAAGGAGATTATGAAATTAAGATAATGTCTGTACTATGTTATGGTTGTACTGTACAATTAAATACAATAGTTGCTGAGTCTGTGATCTGAACACTTTACCTCAGAGCATCCATTAACTGAATGAATTGACAATATCACCTGAAAATCCGATAACATCAGCAATTTTCATTCAAGCAGCTGATTTCTGTAAATTAATGTGAAACTAAATGTACATTGCAGCACAGGGTGAAGTCATTTACGATGATTTGCGACAAATATAATGTAAATTTAGCCTAATATAAAACTATGTAAATGGCGCTCTGTGTCGCGGCAGGATTTTGAACAAGAGCCGGGCGCCGCGGACAGACGCCGAATGGCACAACCGGTGTGTGTAGTCTACACTCGAAGAGAAAATGTGTTCGAATTTTAAAGACGTGGCGCTGCGCTTCTCGTCCGGTGTGCGAGCCCCTTTAAAGTGCTGTTTTCTTTTGAGCCGAAGAACTCCCATTTAGGCGAGCTTACTTTTTTCGGCTGTGGACAGAGTGTTTCACTCTCTCGCTCAGACAGCTGTGCGGCGCGGGCTGCGTCTTCTTGTTTGATAGGTGTCAGCGGGTGCAATATAGCTGAGACGTCAATCAGGCACTCGCGCTGGAGTATTTACGTGTCATGTTATCATAACAGTCCTATTCATTTTAAACATTGTGGTTATCGCCAATACCGGTATATCGCCACACTCTAAATTAACACGATGTCGATATTTCATGCTTTGAATATCACGATTATCGTCAACACCGGTATATTGCGACACCCCTAATCCGCGCTATCCTCGGTTTCCGCTCGTACTGCCATAGCCATGACGTAACCATGGCGACAGACGTGGACAACTGCGTAGTGCGTAACGTTTAGCAGCACGCAGTTCTTGTTTCTTTCAGACATAGACCATGGCAAGCAGACTTTGGGACAAACAAGAGAACTAAAATGAGGATCAATATCAGCGTGGCGTTTTTGAGATGCCGAGAGCTAGCGTCCGCGACTAACTTGTCACGACTCGACAGCTTTATTAGACAGGTGAGCAAATGTACATAAAACAAATCAATGTTATATAACGTTAGCTCAACATGATGAAATGTTAGAATATGGTCAGTATGTTATTCTAATGTTGATCTAGCTTACTGCTAGTTTCGTATAGCAAACGAACTAACACGTAGTATAACATTATAACTTTCAACACACATTTAAATGCCGTTTAGTGTGATCAAGTGAAGCAGCGCTGCGTTACCTCACAAGTTTAATTCGTCTAATGAACTGACCTGTGTGAGTAATCCAGCACTCGCAGGTAACGTTAGTTCGGTAGAATTAAATGTCCTTATTCCTTTATATCCGTGGGATTCGCGTGTGATATCTGTCTCTTTAGCAATCGCGACCTGCTTCATACCACTGTAATGTTAAAAAAACATGAATGTTTGCACTCATCCATAAACATTATTAGATCCATCAGCTTGACAGCAAGTCCCATCATTCAGCTCATCACTGCGTCATCAACCTACGCCTGTGTTATTGTTGGAAACTGCGCCCTCTTGTGGCGAAAAAAACCTACATATTGTGCCTTTAAGCTTCCAAGCTTTATAATGGCAGTGGATTGCAACCATTGCAACCATCAGATTGAAGCTCAAAAAAGTGCATCCATCCATTATATAAGGACTCCATACGGCTCCGGGGGGTTAATAAAGGCCTTCTAAAGCAAAACGATGAGATTGTGTAAGAAAAATATTCATATTTAAAAAATTAAAGAGTAAAATAACTATCTTCCGGCTAAACGAACATACGGATTCAACTTAAGTGTTAAGCATAACTTATGCGAGTAATGCGACGTAATGCTGATATTTACGCTACGCCGTGACGCAATACGCTACTTCTGACGTCACAAGTTGCGTAAGTTGCGCTTCAGGCATAAGTAGACTGTGTATGTCCGTTTGGTCAGAAGCTAGAATTTTACTTTTTAACGTGTTAAATATGAATATTTTTTCGTACACAAACTCATCGTTTTGCTTTAGAAGGCCTTTATTAGCCTCACGGCGCCATGTGGAGTTCTTATATAATGAATGGATGCACTTTTTTGAGCTTCAATCTGATGGTTGCAATGGTTGCAATCCACTGCCATTATAAATCTCGGAAGAGCCAGGACATTTATTAATATAACTCTGATTGTATTCGTCTGAAAGAAGAAAGTCATATACATCAGGATGGCATGAGGGAGAGTAAATCATGGGCTACTTTTCATTTTGAAGTGAACTACTCCTTTAAAGTCTTTTTGTTCAGCAGAAGGTGCCCAACGATTCCACCGGACATACGCGTCTCTTGCAGCTTTAACCAATCCTCCCATGTGGCTCAGTCACATGCTTCCAGGTTCGCACAAGGTTGAACAGAAAAGACCCAGTCACACTCCGCCTCTGCCACTTGAAAAGCCAGGGACATTTGTCTTCAAAAATAGATCTTTACCCTCCTTCAGTCTCTGGTCACATTCTCTTGCAGTCTTCTCTAGGTCATCCTTTTGTTGTGAACTTAATGCTGGCACGTCCTCTGCATCCAGCTCAGCTTCAACCTCTGCGATCAAAGCAGCCATGCCTTTTGTGGCTTGTAGTGAAAGATTTTTGAAGCTTTCTTTGAGCTCTTCCTCACACATGTCCATATGGGTCCTGGAAACGGAATTGGCGAGCCGAGAAAATAGTCTTTTTGCGCTGGTCCTTTCAGCTTTAAGCTGCTCCAACGACTTTGTCTCCGCCATATCCTCTGGTTGGAACAATGCAATAATAATGCACACTTTGGGATGACGCTACGGCAGTTTACCTTTCTTCTTCCAGGCCTCCAGGTGAGTTTCAAGGTCCTCCTATCCTGGCTCTGGTTTTTTACTGTCAAGCGTTTGTTTGACTGCGTTTTCTTACACTTGAAAGAGATAGTTTCTCACTATTTGAAGATATTAACTGGATTCCACTCAATGATTAGGCC